AGATATAGATACTGCCCTTTCTAGTATTGATATCAAATCAAGGCAAATTCTTCTCAATTTATTTTCATTTTTAGTTAGATTTTATGTGGCATCTAATCTAAGTTCAGAAAAATATCCATATCACTTTGATACTCTCAATTGAATGTTCTATACTTTTGTATGTTGTGTAAAGTGACTTCTGTCAGAGCTACTAGTATATGATCAAGAGAAATGCTCATCAAGAAATGTCATTAATATCATTAATATCTCATCCATGATGTGCTAATTACGAAATTTGCCAAACTTGAGAAGATGTAAATAACCAATGGCTTGCCAAAGGCACCAAAACAATTATTATCAGGGGAGAAAGTCTCAAGTTTTTACTTGTCTATTTTGTTATGACATATGTAACACCGTAGGAGTATAATTATATATTGGCATATTGCTGTTGCAGCTCTTAATCCCAAACTTTAAAGCAATTACCAGGAGCCCTGGCTGAATTTGCGAGAAGCTGCATATTGGCTGGGCTTCAACTGGTTTTGACTTATTTAAATAAAGACCATCACCTGAAAATTTGAGAAATTCTCCGTAGTGTGATACGATTGTGCTCTTTTTAATCTTGTGAATTTTGTGTATGTTGATGCAGGTTCTTCTTTCTAGGTTAAGTTTCTTTGGGTCAGATACATCAGCCTCAGAGAATTCTGGTCTTCAAAACTATAGGAAGACAGCCGAGGCTGTCATGTGTGGTCTCCTACCAGATTCCCCGTCAGCCACATCCAGCAGAACAGGCAGTAATGTCCTTCAATAAGCACAGCAATGTTTGATTCTGCAGTCAATTATGAATTATTACATGAATAAGATAAGAAAAAATCTTGATCAGATAAAAAGCTTTATACTAAAATTAAACTAACAGAGTAACTAAACTCATCCTCATTCTTGAATCTTGGAGATATAAAAATGGTTCACCAAGTCATGTCCATTTTCATGAAGTAGTGCAGCATATTATGTTTAGGAGTAGCTAAGAGCTAAAAATGACATGCACTAAACCTTAAACATTCAGCTTGATATCTGAGATCAAATGCCAGACATGTCTAATATTCGTAATACTCATGTTGCATTGGATGGTAAAATATTGCATGACACTAGTCATTATGCAACTTTTCATTTTACTTCTTAGGGTCTCTAGTTTTAACCAGTGCAGTCATTCTTATGCAGGTGGCCTTATATGGGTCAGCCAGTGGAATTCTTTGCAGCATCCTGTTGCTTCTGCATTTCTAGCTGTTCTTTATAGTGATTATATGCTCACAACACGGACTGCAACAATATCCTGCAGTGGAGATAATTATAAACCATCAGACCTTCGCAAATTTGCCAGATCACAGGTATGCGGTCCATTTTAATGAGATGTAGATCATATGAAGCCTCATTGGTTTCTAATCCAATTCTTTATGTTTCCAGGCTGATTATGTTTTGGGCAAGAACCCCATGAAAATGAGCTTTCTTGTGGGGTACGGTGACAAGTACCCACAATATGTGCACCACAGAGGTGCTTCAATCCCAGTTGATGCAAGTCCTGGCTGCAGTGATGGTTTCAAGTGGCTTAATTCAACTGATCCCAATCCTAATGTAGCTATAGGAGGAATGGTAGGCGGTCCATTCCAGAACGAAACCTACAGTGATTCCAGGAACAACTCAATGCAAGGCGAGCCAACCACCTATAACAGCGCCATTCTCGTTGGCCTTCTCTCAAGTTTGGTGACCACTTCTTCTGCACTTAAATCACTTTCCTAAAGTAGCATTCCAACTACGCAATTATTTGTACTGTAGGTAGTTTGTATTAGTATGAATGCTCTTTTTTTCCTTCCAAAAGTTGATTTTTGCCATAGTTATGGTTATGGACCTTGATTTTGTTTCAGCTACACTGATAAACAAATCTCTGGCTCTCTGCCCATCTCCTGCAGACGTGCCTACATTTTCACACAATAAACAAAAACCGGCACGCCTTAGGTAATTAGGCCACGATTTTCGGTTTAATTTAATGATTGGTCTACTAACAACTAAGCTAATTTTATTTTAGTTTAAAAAGTTAGTTTTCTCTTTAAATGGTTTATAAATTTTGTAAAATATTTTGTAATAATTTACTGTATAACATTTTTATTAGTTTTATCAAAAAAATAACAAAAAAGTTAAATCAAAATTAAAATAAAATGATCTCATCTAGTAAAGTAATTTATGATAAATTGTGTAAATTATTAAAATACGTTAATAATTTTGATTTTTACTACAAAAGAGAATTATTAAAGGAAAAAATTAAAGTAGTATGTGATAAAAGTTATAGTTGATAAGATTATGAAAATGAATTTATTATTTTTATAAAATTAGTTTTATCTCAAAATTAATTCAATAAATAAAAATTTACAAAAGATAAATGAAAATTAATTTAATTAAATGGAGTAAAACTAACGTTAGAAAATTAACATAATAAACTAAATTGAAATAAAAATAAAAAGTAGTATATAAATTTAAAAATATTTGAAAATAATAGACAAAATAAAAAATAGAAAAATCATTAGATTATTTATCAAATTAAGCCCACGTTCTCCACGCAAAAGTACAATGGAATTCTTATAAGAAATATCAAGTTTCCTTTACAAAAAAAAAAAACATGCAGTACTGTGTACTATGACAGAAGAATCAAGTCAACAGTTTTCATCCCCTTTTGAAACAGAGCCCAATTCACAAAAGCAAATGCTGCTGCAATTCTGCCCACACCTGGTCCCCAAATGACCAAGGCCCATCTTATCGACAGCTGCCACCACCAAATGTAGAAGAAGGCCCACTCCTCTCCATCCCTTTTCCCCAAACCAACCCCCCCATCCCCAACATTGCCCTGTTTTATCTCGTCCTTTTTTTCTCTTTTTTTAGCTTGAAAGCAATCTATGATGAACAATTATGAATCCTAATTGTTCTTGCTCTCCCACGCTCAAAAAAAAAAAAAAAACGTTATGATTCAATTCAAGCATGCATCAAGTTTCCCAAAAAATACCCAGATGCAAAAAAACCCCTTTCTTGGATATTTCTGGATTTTCATTATCTATCCCCATCAATCCCTTTTGTGAAAGCAACTCATAACAACCCTTCATTTCAGAAAAGAAAAAACAACAAAAATTATGCATACAGAGTCGGCAATCACCGACTTAGAAAAGTACAGTAATTAGGATTAATTGTTCATCCCTGTCAGACTAATACTAATTAATTACATTAACAAACTAAACCCAAAATAAATAAATAAATAAAAATGAATTCACAATATTATCCACAGCCAATTAAAAGCAACTGTGGTGAACGTGGAACTTGTCTTCTATGTAGACACTGTCTTTGCAGGAGAGTAACTAATATCTACGCTTCATGAAAAATCCTCCATCGGGTCGGGTTAACGGGCAATATCCGATTTTGTGTTGTAACCCAACTCAAAACTGCTAGTCTACTCCTCTTCCCAGCTTAGCTTTGAGCTTGAGCAATGTTCGGGCACATATTCCTGGTCAAAGTCAAAAGATAGAAAATGGATGCATGTCTCTGAGATTGTTTTTGACTGAAAGTGAGGTGGAAAGTTGTTATTGGCTAAGAGGATGATGTTATGGTGTGTACCTCGAGTTTGGACATGAGTTCATGGGCAGTGTGGGCAGAGACAATTATGTGACGGGCAGCTGGTGCTATGAATCCTTCATCAACAGCTTTGTCTATGAATGATAACAGCGAGTTGTAGTATCCATCAACGTTCAACAACCCCACCTGTTTTATTTTTTTAAGTTCAAAAAAATTATATATTTCCCTTTTGTAGTATTATTTTGGACTGAAATCATTTAATTTATATGGAGAAAAAAATAAAAATACCGGTTTGTCATGGATTCCAAGCTGAGCCCAAGTGATGACTTCCAGGAGTTCTTCCAGAGTTCCATAGCCGCCTGTTGAGGCAGTAAAGTGATATTAATTGGATAAGTAATTATTGGTTATTACATGCGGGTTTGACGGTTACAGACAGTTATTGTCGGAAACTGTAAAGTTATGGAAGTATTTGAGTTGGGGAGTGGAAATGTCAAATGTGAGCTCGAGAGCCACCTGGTAAGGCAATAAAGGCATCGGCTTGGCGAGCCATTTCAGCTTTTCTTTGGTGCATCCCTGAAACTGCTCTCACTTCTCCCACAGTTTCCCCTGTGATCTGGTAAAAAGAACAGGGAATCTAAGGGTTACATTGCTGAGATGAAAAGTTTTATTATTATTGTTTTTTTTGCTTGAAATGTAATCAAATGGTGTTGCTTGTTTGAATCTTAAATTCTCACTATCTGAGAATAATAATAAAGCAATTCTGGAACAGGGTTAAATAATTAATCTTGTTCTTCATCATGTGATCCCAAGAAAAGTTTCAATATGATTTTTACCTCTCTTGGCATGAGAGTCTTGGGAATGACTCTGTAAAAGAAAAGCAAACAGAGAGTTAGAAACAGAGAAAATGAGAGAATTTTTGGAAATGGAAAATTGTAAGGTTACCACCCCAACACGTGGCGGCCGCCGTCAAACACAGCCTGAGAAACGAGGCCCATGAGACCAATGCTTCCTCCTCCATACACCAAGTCAATGTTCCTTTCAACCTGCAGTGCTTACATTATTGAGTGTACGTGTCCAATTCAAGTAAATCCTGTCCATTCCTCATAAAAAACAGATTGTCACTCTTAATTAATCGTTCATTTTGATTTGATTCGGATCTAAAATCTTAATTTTCTTCCATTTAAAATGCTCTGTTTCATTTCAACAAAAATCAGAACACAAACCGCGGAAGGGGATGCTGTGTTTCAATATCCAAGTAAAACAGAACATATAAAGCTTTAAAAACAGAGTTCTCTAATCTGTTCAGTTAAAATGTCGCAACCTGAATTGAGATATAACATAAAAGCATCAGGGAATTTTTCCAAATTAGATTATATGTTGGAGATTCAGGGAAAAGGGAACGGAAAAGCAAATAAACAGACTCTGTTTTAATCTGTTACTCATGAGGGTGAGAAAAAGTGAGGCAGTACCAGTTGTTTCCCAAGTTGAATAGCAGCAATCTGGTAGCTTGGATTCTTTCCTGGGCTGCTACCGCAGAACACACAGACACGCCGGAACCTCGACCTCATCGAAGATTGCTGTTGCTGCTGCTGCTGTTGATTTTCCATAAGAGGAAAGGCTTGAAACTACTCCTATGATTTTGCTTCAAATGCCTATTTGTTTAAGACGCGTGAGAGATGCAAAAAGAAATGTGTATGGTTGGACTTAAAGCAGAGAAGTCAGAAATCTGCGTTGAAGGCAAAAATTTAGGGGATTGAGAAATGGTTGTATTTGGCCCCTTTTTATATCAAATCAGTTAACCTCTCCATCACGTCGCTCTTTCTATAATTCCTAAATCAAATTCATTTCACACTGTACCTCAAAATCACTCAAACTCAATTTCATTTCATTCTTACAATATTCTATTTTAAAAGTGTTTCAGGCATCTTTTAGAACCTCAATTTGTATATTTGAAATTTTTATCAGAAAATTCCAGATAAACATTTTTGTATATATTAATAAAATCTTAACAATCTACAAGAGGGTGAAATTGCAGCAAAATTGCAAATTGAAGTAGAGGAGGGTTAGTTGTTAAAATGTAGTTAAACAAAAATATTTGACAGTTGATAGTTATTCTTGTTTATAACTCAAAACACTCTATCCTGTCGGAATAGAATCAATTCTTATTAGAACCAACAATTGATAACGGTTTAAGTAAACGCCTTGAAAAACCGAAGAGTTTGGTTCGTTACAGTAGCATGTCCCTTTAGTTCAGTGGCTTGTGATTGAACAATGTACGTGATACATTGAATTCATTCTTGTCCGTTCCATTCGAGATGTGAAACTTGATAATCTCTTTAACACAAAACTTACATTTACCTCTAAAAAATTTTTTGGTTATTTTTCTAATATGTTACTTTGTTATTTTTCAATATAAGATATTGTAACATAATATTCCTTTTTTACATATAAATTTTGTATTAACTACATTAATTCAAAACTTAAAAGTTCTCTTCAGCTACAAGTTCAATATTTCAAATGTCGTATAAGATTGAATTGTCAGTAAATCTTAAATTTCTCAAAATGCTTTAACATAAGATATAAATTTAATCTAAAACTAATTGATAATAAATAAAATAAATTTTTTTATATTTAATTTATATACTGTTTTTTTGTTATATTTTCAACGTAAGATTTCCCACTACACAATAAATATATATTCTTTTTATGCTTGGATGGGATAAGCTTATTTCTAAAGACGAGGAATCAAAAAATGGAGCATTGATTCCAGGAAGATTCTTAGGGAAAATTAGGAATAGAGTGTTTGAACTTTGAACACGGCAACTTAATTCTTAATTTGCAACTTTAATTAATTAATTTACACGATTCAGGATTGATGCACAGCCACTTTTTGCTTCTCCATCTTGTACTTGCTAAATCGGGTAAGTATAGGTATAAGTCTTCCCATTATTCAATTCCAGTGCTTGACAGTTACCAAGAAAAGTAATACTGGAAAACGGAGCTCAGTGCCCTCAAAAGTAACCTTGGAGTTATTCTCCACCCTTAAAAATTATGGTTTTAATCCTTCCTCTATCTCATAGTAACATTATAGAGACAGAATGGATGAGTATTAGTAGTACTAAACCAAACAAGGTCTAATATGAAATTAGCAGTAAAAATTGACTATATGTAAAAAGGCTTGTTTTATTTTACTACAAGCCTTTGAGGAGCTAAAAAAATTTCAAGGGTTCGTATTAGTTGAAGGAATAACTATTTTTGGTCAAATCATAAAATGTGATAAATTATATAGGAAAAGCATGTTGTAGAAAAAAATAGTGTTATTCCCTAGCTTTATCCATTTTCTTCTAACAAAATGATAAAAAAAAAGGTGATAATACAATATTAAAAAATTGTTTTGTAATACATTATATTAAATTGTAAAATAAAGATTGTAAAATAAAAGATAAATTTCTTAATATTAAAGACTTTTTTTATTAGAAGAGTTCTTATTTTATAATTCAATATAATTCATATTACAAAATAAAAGATTTATACAACATAATTAATAATAACCCCGTATTAAATTATGTTTATTTCTTTTTTAACTTGTACTCAGAAATCGTCAGTCCTTTTATATATTTTGCATGCATTGCGATTTACTTTAATTCAATTCAATATAGGAATCATTCCTCCGATAAACACCCCTAAATTGTCCTAGGTCAAAGAATTAAATGTAGAGGGAGGTGGGAATGTGGATAAAGTAACCCATGCACAATAGAAAAGTGCTGCTTTCCGGCCAAAAAGTGATAAAAAGAACTTGAAAGTTGCCCCCCGAATATAATTTTTTTGGGGAAAGATGGGTTTATTTTTCATGCAGTAAGAACACTATTGAACACTGAAGGAATATACTTGTAATATAATTCCTATTGCAAATTTCTGCAACCTATCCACGTCTCTCGTCGAACTTCCGTTTAGAAAAAAACTCTTTTCAAACCTTGAAGTTTCTTAGGCAACCATGTTCAATCCCAGTCAATCGGGGTTGATAGAAACAGCTAGAAAACGATTTCAAAGCACCAAAACTCAGCCGACCAACCCTAACTCTCCCCATCTTTTTCTCTTCATATTTCAAAGACTTTTGCCCCAACCCCGGAGCCTGTCTTTCTACCTCACAAACCCTGTCCGCCAATTTTTACGTAATTACTTCTTCCTGAATCAGCGCATGACTTTTCAATCTATAGTGAAAGATGGGGCTAATGTATAGAGTTTAGTATTTATAGTTAAATTATACTAAATTGTAAAACACGAGTATTATATGGAAGGATCTATACTCATTATTAGAGGCTCTCATCATTTTATTAATGGTTAATATTTAGCAGCATAATATACTCTGAACTGTAAAACAATTTTTTGTTTACTTCTTTTTTAAAATCGTAAACCTTGATCAATGAAAAACAAACTCACCCGCAAATCAGATTACCGTCTTCGATTAGATAACAATATTTTTCCTTTAATTAATCATATGAAGATGAGATAATCCACGGTACTAGTTCTAAAGGCAGGGGAACGTGGCTATGTGCTAGTGGATCTCAAAATTTCTAGATGGAATTTTGGTACAAAAGGGTGCATCTGGTGCCCGCTTAATACTCATAGACAACAATATCAATGATCTATTGATTTGAATGAAAAGAATTCGATTCCTCTTAAATAAAGTTTTTTGAGTTCGAATCTTATAAATGAAAAAATAAGCATTGTGAGATTTTCTTTTTAATGGGGTTTGATTTGATTTGATTTTAAATTAATCAAAAATTAACGTGGTTATTAGATACTGAAAAATTAGTAAAAAAAAAAATACTCATAGAAAATAATGACTTCAAGCCATGCATTCATGCGTAGAATTTAGAAAGGAGATTTATCCCCTTTTCTTCTCTTTTCTGTTTGAGCAATCAAATTGTTCCAAGTGAATCTCTCCTATTCGAATTGAATACCGATACTTGGTGTCCAATCAAACATATCTAGTTGGGTTGGTCGTTGCCTCGTGTTTCGTTGCAGCGGGTCTTACATTCACATACTCAACACATCAATAATTTTATATTCAAATTGGCTCCATTTGCTTCGCTGTTTGTTTCTCCTATCACTCTCTTTTTTCTTTTAAAATCCATTCCCCTTTTATACTTGTGAATCTGATTTGCTTCCTGCGTGTCTTAATACACGGGTTTTTTGAGAACATTAATATATGATGACTTAATCAAGGTCGTTGGTGTAATTGAATATTATGTTAGCAACATCTCTAATAAACAACTAAAACTTTAGAAGTTTCTCATACCTCGTCATAAGTTTCTTATTTCATATTACAGATTTTGTAGCCCTTTGTTGTTTGGGAATATAGCATAAAATCCTAATTGGTATACTTGTTTCCCCAAAAACTTTCTCTAAATTTTGAGTTCTTTTGATTAATCATAAAATTAATCTATTACATAACTAGGGATTAATTAAGCATTGGCTATTGGGTTTGATTTTTTGGAAGGTAGAAGAAGAAATAACCTAACCCTTTAAAGAATATTTGGGGCTGTTTTCATTTGGAGTTTAACGCCGGTGAGAATAGGGCCAGCCAACTTGGAATTTTATTATGATTTTCTTTTGCTTCCAAATTAAAATATAGTTTCATTCATGGCGTTCTTCAGTTGGCAAGTTAGATCTCCAAGTTGCTTTAATATATTAATACATGCAAAAATCAATGCTCATTTTCCAAAAAGATAAGTCTTTGGGTACGGACTATGGACTTCACAACGTGCCACCGATCTCCTTATCGTCTTCTTCCTCTTTAAATTCCTTTATTCACATGGTATTCCTATTTCAAATTGCTTCATCTAAAACTTGTTCTTTATTATCATTATTTGAATGTAGTGTAGCATGCTAAAGACCCAGGGTTAATATTAGCGCTTCTTTTTTTCTTTTTCTTTTTTTTTTTATAACAACATCAAATAATGAGTTATATAAAGTTCTTTTTTTTTTTT